GCTTAGGGAGTGAGAGTGTGTTGGTCACACACACACACACACACACACACACACACACACACACACACACACACACACACACACACACACACACACACACACACACACACACACACACACACACACACACACACTGCATTGCTTCTTCTGTATCTTACTGTGTTGTTTCAACTCCCACCAGGGTGGAATAAATGGCTGGAGTCAACCGTCAAGCCCCAGAGCTCAGCTGATGAGGTTTGATTAAAGCGTCTGAAACCCCAAACCTGCTCCGTGTGTGTTCGCTTTCAATCACTGGGGCTCACGCACAAGTTAAGAGTCAGATAGTATAACAGCTCATATACACATGTACTGCATCACCTCTCCTGTGTGTGTCCTCTAAATCATCTCTGCAAAAACAAGGGAGCATCTTTGACCTTGTGACCTTTCCAATTTACCAGCCTGAGCTAAGCGCAGGATGAGGCTCAGCGTACAGACGCACTTGAAACATCTGGAAAACCTTAACCTCTGCTAAATGAATGGGTGGAGGTACAGATTATTGGTTTTCTGAAGTCATTTTGTCATCATGCAACACTCCAAACATGATGCTGGTGTTTCCAGTTTGAACAAGAAAACATATTTTGTGCACTGACGACACATTCACATGACAATGTCTCCAACACTATAAATTAAAGTTGGATAACACATTCCTCAAGCTTGCTTTATCATTTGTTTTCTACAACTGGTTTCTGGTTGTCAGGATGTGTGACATGCCAGACATTCAGTTCTCTTAGTGTAATAACTAAATCATAGTTTTACAGCCTTTTTTTTTTTTTAACTGCACAGGTGTGAACATTTGATTGTTGGCGTGTTGTTCCTCAAGCTTTGCAGCAATGTAAGCTAAATAGCTCTGTGTTTCGCTCAACACAGACGCCCTGTTGTGTCAACAAGGCAGATTTATGATAAGAGTTATTATTCTGATGCTGGTGGTATTTGTGGGAAAGGTGGCTTGCTATAGCTTCACGTGCTACATGTTCACATAAGGTGTTTACACTGTATTTTATTGAATGACATGTATTACATGTAACAGATAATGTGACAGATCCTATTCGATGTACTCTAACTCAGCAGTGTAAAATGTGCGATGGGCAAAGAGTGACACCTGGTGAGCAAAGCATAAACAGCAGTGTGTGGCAAACACACATAACATGTTGTAAGCAAGGAGTTTTACATGTAGCGAGGCCTGGCTATTATGGGCATAGATATGTCTCATAATTATTTGTGTGAACATAAAAATAATTTGTGTGTAAATATGTGATTTGTAAATGTAAAACACCATCCACAAATGCATTTAAAAGATTTGCAAACTCACAAATACATTTGCAAATGTAAAACGGATCTGCAAATACGCAAAATATTGTTACAAATAAAAAAAGATCTTTGAATATCTCTTTAACATTTACAACTTTCGATCAGGCATTTGTGAATCCATTTTGTATTTGTCGACCAAAAATGCACTTGTGGATCTCAAATCTCTGCTTGTGGATCACAAATCTCTGCTTGTGGATCGTCTTTTTACACACACAGAGTTTTGAGACAACCTTTCCGCCGGTCTCGGCTAAAATCTACTCGTGTCACTCGGTTATTTTCGGAAACCACGTGATGGCCTGCTGATGACGACATTTACGCATGGTTTTCAAAGTAAGAGCATGGGAAGTAACAATAGCCTCCTAGCAAATGTAAGGTTAACCTGTTAAGCACCAAGCCTGTTTTTCATGTTTCAGGCTCGAAAATGACATGCCCAAAACAAATGACTACAACTTAACTTCTAAAAGGGTTATATGAATAATTTCTTTTATCAAAGCAAGGTTACACCTGCGAGTTGGATGTAGAAGTGTCAGAATCAATATAGATGTTTTTTATTTTAAAGAAAATTCAGATTTTACATAGTAAAAAACTGTAAATTATAGTGTCCGTCCAAAAATTATTTTTTACAGATAGTGAAAACTACCCTTGGATGATGGGTTAGTAGACTAAAAGCTTTAGGAATCCAAAGTACAACATATAATAAGTACCCTGAATCAAGATTGACATTTGACCTTTTTAGAGAGGTTTAGCCAAAACCACCCCACCTCTGAGGTGATTTGGGTGAAAATGTTTTTTTTTCCATATCTCTGGCCCCCCTTGGTCAATTTTGATGCTTTTTAACGCTCTTTCTGACCGTTAGAGCCAATAGAATCGAAGGGGGAGGCCCCCACACACACACGTTGTGAAGAGAAGAGGTGGGGGCTTTGCGCATGTAATTTAGCATCAGAGTGGACCTATCTCTAGCTCTGGCATTTGGAAACTAAAAAGCAGTTTTATTGCTTATGGATTATCAGAAATAATTTCAAAGAGGGCACAGATACATTGGATGAACCTATGGATTAACTGCAGGATCGTTTTTTTATCGTTTTAATGCCATTGAAGACCAGTTTTGACCAAGGTAAGCCATGTTAGCGTTTCTAGCTACCTAGCTCCACATGTTATGATGTACGCTTTCGTTTATAGCGTCGCAAATGTTTATCACTGAGTGTTGAGGTGGGCACCCCCAGATTCTGTGTCTCCAGGAGATGCTAATCGAGTGGTTGGCTGTGCATCTAGGATAAGTAATAAGGGAGTTATGAGTGAGTTTAGGTGCAGTTTGAGGTTACATTTTTTCGCTCGAGGATAATTCAGAGGCTGAGTGTTAGCATTGTGGGTTTTTTTGGAGAAAAAAAATTAAAAAGATCAGTTAGCTGAGTTTCTTCCCGTTACATGGATATAAAACATTCATAGTTTTATTAAATATTAAGATTCCTTAGACGTTGTTTCCTGCAAATGACGCGTTTATCCGCCCGGTACCGGGGGGGCGGTGCGTAACAGGTTAAGTTAAAGGTGGGGTAGGTAAGTTTGAGAAACCGGCTCGAGATACACTTTTTGTTATATTCCATGGAATGCTCTTAACATCCCGATAGCAATGAATATCTTAAGTGCTTTGACAAAAAATCCATAAAAAAATGTCATCTGTGGAAGCCGTAATACTGTAAAAAAGTACGACCAATCATTTTAGCCGGCCCGGCTAAAATAACTGGATGGCCTACCTGCCTGTCAGCCTTCCATCTGTGCACAAACTTATCTCGAGCCCTCATTGGTCATGTGCGCGTTCGTGTGTGTTGGAGGAGGGGCTCTGTAAGGAAGTGGCAGATTTTTTCCGGCTGTGTATTTTCAAATGCTAGCGCACTCGAGCTGGTTTCTCCAAAATTACCCCACCTTTAACATTAACGTAACGTTGTAAGAAAGCAAAACGAACCTTCGAGAAAGCTTTTACTCTCAGACTTGGTGAAATTGTGTAGTGTTGCTTACCTCCAGAAGGACTTTTAGTGCGTTTCCCAGTAGACAGAGCTGTCAGAGGGGGTGGATTCACAGAAACGCTCAACTGATCTTCACTCCCCGACCATTAGTGCCAGTCAAAACCATGTGTTATACTGCTTTGTTTCAACCACTGCCGTCTCGCCGTTCCCCCGTGTCCCACCCTCTCTGTCTGTCTGTGTCTGTTTCAGTTTTGCCAGTAAGACTGCTGGTAGACCAGCATACATACCAGCTTCACCAGCATAGACCAGTTTAACTACCAGCATGACATCCATGCTGGGCTATGCTGGTTTAGCTTGTCCAGTCTGGTAAACCAACTAAACCAGCCTAACACCAGCTAAAACCAGCTAAAACCAGCAACCATCTTAAGCTGGTCTATGCTGGTTTTTTCAGCAGGGCACACGCACATACAGTAGGCTACACCCGCGACTATAACAATGAAGGCTCGATAATCAGCTCATGGCATATAGGAAGGGTAAAAGCGCTATTTTTTATAAGTGGGGGGCGGACCAGCCTCCTAGGGGGGTCCGGGGTCATGCTCCCCCGGGAAGATTTTTTTTTTTAATTATTGAAGTTAAATGCATCAATCTGGTGCACTTTATAGAGCAAAATTAAGAGATACATCTCTCAACACCCATATGAAACAGAACTGTAAAGATGTACTTTTTATTTATGGATATTTTACTAATCACTCCCCTTTTAAACTGTATTCTTGTTTTACTGTCATATAGTATTTCATACCTGTTTTTCATTTATTCTCTTATTGTTTTATAGCCTAACTATGATCATGAAGGTGTGCCTCGGAAATACAAATGGTGATCAAACTGTTTTGAGACCCACTGAGATAACTTAGACTAAAGTTATCTAAACACTGAGAGAGTCCTTACCTCACTGAGCTGAGGTTATCTGACAGGAGAGGACTTTCCTTTCACTGAGTTGTAGAAACAGCTTCTAATATCCGTTAGCGCAGCAACAACAATCTCTCTCGCTCTCGCTCTCGCTCTCGCTCTCTCTCTCGCTCACTCGTGCCACACACACGGAGCCGAGCTTGAATGAAACACCCAGAAGTAGGCTATTTGTACTCACTTGTACTGTACTGTAATATAGGCTAACCTTAAAGGTAGGGTAGGTACGTTTGAGAAACCGGCTCGAGATCGCTAGAATTTGAAAATACACAACCGGAGAAAATCTGCCACTTCCTTATAGAGCCCCTCCTCCAACACACACGAACGCGCACATGACCAATGAGGGCACGAGATAAGTTTGTGCACAGATGGAAGGCTGACAGGCAGGTAGGCCATCCAGTTATTTTAGCCGGGCCGGCTAAAATGATTGGTCGTCCTTTTTACAGTACTACGGCTTCCACAGATGACATTTTTTTATGGATTTTTTGTCAAAGCACTTAAGATATTCATTGCTATCGGGATGTTAAGAGCATTCCATGGAATATAACAAAAAGTGTATCTCGAGCCGGTTTCTCAAACTTACCTACCCTACCTTTAATACAGTGTTATTATTAGCTGTACACTACTGCCACTTGTGGCAGTATATGGTATCGCCACTAAAACTTCAAGCCGGTAATGAGGTAAGCAGCGCTTGTGATTCTTTGTAATAAAGGAGTGCATATTACAAAGGAAATTTCACTATGTGACTTTAATTAGAAAATATTCAAAAGTCAAGGTTATACAGACGGTAAAACACATATAGGCTATACCGTTTTTTTTATAAGATTATAAAACTAGGTTTGTAAACATTAGGCCAGTGGCAAACCGTCTTTTGAAATGAAGATGATAATTATCAACAAAAAATTCAGAATTTTCACTTAAACATTGAAAGTGTAGTAATAAAATACTGCACTAAGCTGGCATGACTGGGTCACATGATTTATAATAAAATAGTCAAATAATTTCAAAAGAATTCATGAAATGGAATCAAATCAGAAATAAAAAATGATGTTCAATATAAGACATATTTCTTATCATTTCATTTCTTATAAAATACTTTTAGCATACTTTTCACAAATGGGCACGAGGTGTTTAAAACAACATTGTTTTTGTGTCATTAAAAGGATCATTTATGCATGGTCCTATAGGGATATTTAACATTTAACACAAGGTTTAATTAAAGTCTACACAAATTCTAAAACTCTTACCATAACCAAAAAGCACCACAAGTACTTAGGCTTTTTTTTTTACATTGTCCTGGAACGAATGGCAGCTGTTCTACATCTCAGCGATGACAGGTAGTATCGGGGCCTTAAACCTTTTGGGGCGTCTGCATGTGGGGCGACAGCCAGAGGCCCAGACCAAGACGCCCGTCTGACTGCAGAGACCCATCTCTCTTTCTGCTTGTGTGTGTTTCGCTTCATCTGCCTTTTGGTCAGAGCCAGTCACTCTGTCCTTAGCTGTCTTCCTGCTGTTTAAGATGTGAACCTGCATGTTCCCAAGCTCCTTCACAAGAATCTCGGCACGTTTTTGACCCTGATTTCCATCTGGTCTGGAGACAGAGGTTTGATCAGTCAAGTCAAAATGGGAAAATTGCCACCCTGTCTTGTTCCCTTCCTCTGTCCATCCTCTGCGGGCCAGCCGGGCTGCGGTGAGGATGGAGTGGCTGAGGAGCTTCTCCTGGGGGTCTGAGAGAAGAGGCCTAGACATGGCCGACACCCAACCCTGGCGAGTACAGACTCTGGCTTACTGCGGTCTCAGGGACACCAGGTTTGAGGCACTATATGACCTGTGAATCACAATAAAGCATTATATTAGATGACATTATATCATAAGAGATTAGGGCATTGGTTCACAACATGGGGGTCCGGACTCCTACTAAGTGTCGCAGAGAGATTGTGATATGTTTAAATGGATGAAAAAAATAAAAGAAATACAAATTGTAGTGGAGTTGTAAGTCGTTTCAGCAACATTAACATACACTTTTCTGCAAAATGAATGTAAGTCCAATATTCACTTTAGTTTTATTGTAACCATAGAAATATCTTTCTATTAAGCTGCTCTCTGTTTCAGCCAGTTACTTGTGTTTGTTGAAGTGCAGGTGCATTCAGTGGGTTTATTATTGAAAGACACTGAAACATGCTGCAGAGTTGCTGGATACTGCAAAATTGGTTATATTTATCTTGGTTTAAGTGCTGAGTAGCTGCAGCTCAGACATACCCTGTTCTTTCAGCCTGTCGCCACTAGGGGGAGGCAGAGATCCTGTGAAATATTGTTAAATTCACATGAAATGTCAAAGCACCACTTCCTAGTAATCTCTTTCCTTCTGCGTTTCAATGGCAAATTACATAACCAATTTCAACTAACCTTTGTGGATTAAACTGTTCTTGCAGATGTGTGGACAAAAGTAAAATCCTTCTCTGGATGTGGAGACCCTTGCATCCAATGCAGGATGTGGCAGTTGGCTCCTGGCTGCAAAGGAGCTGTAAGAAAACAAATAAGATTGACATTACTAGTTGCAATTCCAATTTGTGACCTAAATTTAGGAAAATGCATACAAAATGATACACAAGAAATCTAAATGTTTTAATTTAATAGAATGATGCAGCCATAAATGTATCTAATCTAACATGTTAGGACAGTGAAAACATTGTATTCATTTACCAAATGTTTCAATAATGCAACAGCTCCAGAGTATATATAGTACATACTTAATGTACATTGTACACACATATTTACAACAACATGTAACATAAGTAAGGATTTAGGTAATACCAGGTTTCAGAGTGGGATTCTCATCGGGCTCATCTCTTCTTCCTCTCTCTACCGACTGAATCACCACTGCACTCTGGATCGACCCCCTTTCTCTTTCTTTCTCTCTCTCTCACTCACTCTCTCTCTCTCTCTCACTCTCTCACTCTCACCCTTTCTTATCCCGATGTATGTGAGCCTCACCAGGTCATCTTTTTGGTAGAACTATGTAATGAAAGGAGCAGAGGTTTGTGTATGGGTCTACTATGTCAAGGTAAAAAAACGGATAAAAGCAATAGTTGAAAATACGCCATTATTATTCTTTCAAAACAGTTGTTGCAAATAACTAAAGTATTTAGGAGACGTGGCTGCTGTAGTTTTTGCATACATTTTTTATTACAAATAATCTTCCTGCTTTCCCTACACTCCACTGGCGCGATGCTAAACTCTGCAAACTCAGAGGAACACGTTTTTGGATTCAGTACAAAGGATTATGTTGACAGTAGATGGACTGTACCCTCAGTCTGCAGGCTGCTGCTGTGCTGTCTGTTTGCTCTGATCTCTCTATACCGGCTGAGTTCAGCAGGTTTATCTGCTGTGGCCAAAGCTCCACGGTTAAGGTGTGTGTCCACTGAGTGACCACATATTCCTGGCAACAGAGTAGCAGGGTTCAGGAAGTCACAGATTGGTTCAATAATCACATTGGACCTCAAATGGAAACCATTGTACAATATGATAGAAACTTATTGAATTCATAAAAAATTGTTGTTCATAACCAATTACTGTTGGTCTCCAATTTCAGTTTGTGGACCACTTTTATGACAGTGCTGACATTGTTATTTTTGTTTTTTTTAATCTCCTGATTGCAGCCTATCTGGATGAAATTCACCCACAAACAGCGCAGGAAAAGTAGCCTTATAACAATTTTTTTGCACCAACAAGTAGTAGGTCTATTGAATCTGACATGTAACACTTGTTTTAGCAGAGCTCCCAGGAAAAACAGATGAACAACTTATTGTTGAATCAATACCCATATTCAATCAATATGTGTTGCATATAGATCATGCTCAAATTTGATGCATTGTCCTTAAATATAACCAGGTGTTTTTATTGCCTTTCATCCTCTGCATTGTATTTTTTCTGCAAGAATGTTTGCAGCTTTTTGCATATACAGGTTTAAAGTTACAAGTCAAGGTTTAAATCCTATCTGCTCACAAATATTCCAACTATTTCACTTAATCCTGTGATTGTCAGCCTACAAAAGCTACTTTTCACAAGTTGACTAGCAGCTCTGTCTCTATCCATAACATATCTGGATAAGGTTCACGTAGAAAAAATGGAGAGCTGTGTAACAGCTGGTCAGTTCACTCAGTTTCTGCTGGCTCATGGTAGCCATCTATCTGGGTGAAAGGTGAAAGGAAAGCTGTTGAATACCCAGTGTTATTGTCAGCATATCTATTGAATGGACCAAACTAAAAAGTGAGGCCTGCAGTGTAAAAACTGATTAATTTATTCCTCTTCATTGCCAACCAATCAATCTCAATGACACCCACAGTGTAATGCTGCAGGAAATACTCACCAGATGCTTGAGATTTTTGTTTTTGACATTTGTCTAATTTGAGAATAGACCAACCCTTAAGGCATTTTATGTATTTTTTTTATTCAGAAAATAATTTATAACATTATCTCAAACTCATACAATTCTTAAAGTCTTTTTATCTTGTGTGCAGGAAATTTCCAGCCCTCATTTAGATGCAATCCTTCAGCAATACTGCTGTAACATTTCCTTCAATCTTTCTGTGATGTTATCTTTTGACAGCTACTTATTTTGGGCCTGTGGGGGAAACTTCTGTGTAGCAATGCAGGAGGAGTCACCGACTCAAATGAGACACGAGGAGAGCTGGAGCTTTGATGTCAAACACTGATGGGTTTATTTGGAGCTTCGGCCGGAGAATTCACAAAACAAGTCAAAGAGTCAGAGGTTCTGACTTCACGGTAGAGTTGCCACGTCAATTCTGAAGAACTCTACCCCAGACCCATGTATTTAGCTAGTTCAGAGAGAATAATCAACATTGTGCATAAGATAGAATCATAACACTTCTATCAGCTGACGTCAACAGGCGGGAACAGGGAAACAAAACACTGAGAGCACAGCAGCCAAGGTTACAGGTGCGTGTGCTCAGTCAGGACAGTATGAACTGATAAACTGGGTCAAAGTTATGGGTCTTTGAAAATATTTCCCCAACAGGGCCTACATACAGCTGAGGTTGAAAAAATAACTCCTTTTTCATTCTTGCACTTTGAGTCTGCCAAAAGGTTGTGAAATGCTCTGTAAACATTCCTAATAACTCTTGCCAGATTCATGTTTCACACATGAAGGAATAAGGGCGGCTGTCGCAGATTTAGCCTGTCATTGCAATTTAGTGGAATGACGAGTCAGTCAACAGGTTAAAATGAAGTGTTAGCACTAAATAAAAGACAAATTATGAGGACGGCAGATAAATGATAATAGAAACTCATATTTGAACATGGTAGGATATCTCTTAAAAAATAATAGGATATTTGGAACTGACCTAATATTGACAGCATTCAAGCCAAATCCATTTATGGTTCAGCTAGATCACATCAATGTTGGGTTTTCACAGGTGAATACACAAAATGTTTGGTCTAAAACAGGACTGTATGTCCCCACAAACAAAAAATGTCCTGCTGCAAGAAGCTGATGATGAACACTGCTGATTGTAAAATTCATCCATTAACAGAAAGTGAAATAGCGATAAAAACACAAATGATATCCTTATTATGCCTCTGACTCTCTGACTCTGTAAGTAGGTCAAAAAACAACAATTTATTTTAAAAATTAGATAAAATATTTATTTAAATGGTGAAATATCCAATACTTCATTAATAATTATGAATTATTATAATAATAATTAATTAATTAATTAATTAATTAATAATTATAATCATAATTAAAGCTGCAAGCAGCGTTGAGCGGGTCTTCGACGCTCCGCAGGCTGTTGTCCGCACGTCGAGGTGTGTGTGTAGGTGTCTCGAGCTGTTGAGGGCCGGACCATTAACTGTCATCTGAAGTCTGGTGCAGTTTGGAACCTTTTCCATTGAGTTAAGACAACATTGTGTTTTTTGGTGAGGGATGCGTTGCCATGGCAACGGCATATGGTGACATCCCATAATTGGCGTAGAGCTGTTGAGGGCCGGACCATTAACTGTCATCTGAAGTCTGGTGCAGTTTGGAACCTTTTCCATTGAGTTAAGACAACATTGTGTTTTTTGGTGAGGGATGCGTTGCCATGGCAACGGCATATGGTGACATCCCATAATTGGCGTAGAGCTGTTGAGGGCCGGACCATTAACTGTCATCTGAAGTCTGGTGCAGTTTGGAACCTTTTCCATTGAATTAAGACAACATCGTGTTTTATGGCGAGTGATGCGTTGCCATGGAAACGGCATACGGTGAGATCTCAGATTTCACGTAGAGCTGTTGAGGGCCGGACCATTAACTGTCATCTGAAGTCTGGTGCCGTTTGCAACCTTTTCCATTGAATTAAGACAACATCGTGTTTTATGGCGAGTGATGCGTTGCCAGTACCGTATCAGTATGTTGTTACTTCGGCATCATTTTGAAACGTGTATTACAATTAAATCACGGTCAAATATGTCCATCTTGTTGTAGTTGTAGCCCCCTTGCCAGTGATGCTCTCTCTAGTTTAGCATACTCAGCCCGACTCAGCCTCGTTGTCTCTGGCCCTAGACCCGCGATTTTATGAGTCCAGAAAAACGGTGAATTAGGACCCGCCGGCCGGTACTAGGCCAAGTGGAAACGCAACCAAAGACGGGCCGCTGACGTCACAGCCCTCTAATGGCGCAGTTCCACTGCAGCGCGGAGCTCGCTTTAAGCGTGCCGTGTCGTGCCGTCCCCCTTTTTTGGTTGTGCTTCCACTAGGCCTAGTGCCGGCGCGGCACGGCGCGGGGCCACTTTTTCACCTCTTTTCTGGCCCTGACAAAATTGTGGTTCTATCGGGGCCAACAAACAGGGCTGAGTCGGGCTGAGTATGTTAAACTAGAGAGAGGAGCGCTGGCAAGAGGGCTAGAACTACAACAAGATGGACATATTTGACCGTGATTTAATTGTAATACACGTTTCAAAATGATGCCGAAGTAACAACATACTGATACCGGTTAGTAAAAACCATGAATTAATGCTTTGTCAAGTCTGCAGACAGACGGCAGGCGAAAAACCTTTTAAAATGCGTGTTTTTCTAGATGGAGATTGGCTAAGCTAACGCAGTATATGCTCTGACCGTCCACACTCACAACAACGGCCTATACAGACATAAATAAAGCAGCGACTGTATTCACCATGACACAGGCAGTCTGTGGTGTGTACTTGTTTAACTTTTGTCGAGTTTCTGAACATATATAAGGAGCTGTGAGCTCTGAGTGCTAACAGCTAACGGCTGTGTTGTGTTTCTGGAGTTTTCATTGAAGATGACGTCACGGCTCCGCCTACACTGCGTTACTATAGTAACTACCCCAGTTCCTAAACTGTAATGGAAGCGCAGCATGAAGTGAGTCGGCCCTGTTAAGGCCCAACGCGGCCAAGCCGTACCGAGCCGTACCGAGTGTGGCCGAGGCCGACCGTGTAGTGGAAATGCGCCATTAAACCGTGCTCCGCGCTGTAGTGGAAACGCGCCATTAGTGAGAGAGAGAGAGAGAGAGAGAGAGAGAGAGAGAGAGAGAGAGAGAGAGAGAGAGAGAGAGAGAGAGAGAGGGGGGGAGGGAGGGACCGGTGCCAGCATGGACCGTGTTGTTAGCATCTGGTTTGCTAGCTGCACTAATGGACATAAGGAGCTGTTTCCACAAGAAGCTGGAGGAGAGTCCTCTCCTCTCAGATTGAGAGACTCAGGTGAGCTAAAGGACTCTCTGAGTGTTTAGATACATAACTTTAGTCTAAGTTATCTCAGTGGGTCTCAAACGGTTTGGTCCCAAATTATTCAAAAGATTATTTCCGCGGCACACCTTCATATGATCATTATAGTTATAAAAAAAATAAGAGAATAAAGGAAAAACAGTTATGAAATACTAT